TTTTTTTTTCATTTGTGCATCGATGTGTCACGTTATTTTGACACGTCATCATGCTTCAGTTAATTAATGGGACATGTCATTGGATTTTTAACGGAGGGACTAAATTGGAATAAAAATGGTAAACAGTAGGGACCAAATCAGGGATTTTTTGAGTTGAGGGACTAAGTCGGGGGTCCGTACAATAGTTGAGGGACCAAAATGAGGGTTTAACCTTATTTTTATTATTTAATTATTGTGTGATACATATTTCTTATTTTTACAATCAAACTGGATGATATTGAAATAGGCGACTCACTGGATTTTTGTGGCCATGAAATTGTACTGGTGGGATTGCTGTACAGTAGAAGAGGGATTGGGGATTTCTTAGGCTAAACTACAGTCAACACTGAAGCAGCGAAAAAAATAATAAAATAAATGAAATTGGCTAAAGCCCCTATTTCCACACTGCACATTATTTTTTCCTACAGTCAACACCCTTAAGAATTTTTACTCCCAGTCAGCATCTTCCATAATTTAAAACCCATAAAAGCCTAAAAATTAATGGTCAAACCCCCTATTTGCACCCTGTCTTTGTTGGTAATTTGGGGTTTTTTGTGTGTTTCAAATTATGGAGGATGTTGACCAGGAGTGAAAATTATGGAGGATGTTGACTGTGGAAAAAAATAATGTGCAAGGCGCAAGTAGGGGGTTTGGCCTATGAAATTTGCTCCTTAGCTAAGTAGAGCAGATAAAGGTGCAAAAGTAGGGATATTCTAGTTTTCTGCATTAATCCAAAATTTAAGATTGTGAGTGGCTTTCAAGATGTCAACTATTGTCTGATGATGCTGATAAAACCAAAAAAAAAAAAAAAAAAGAGTTTTGATTTATGCAAAATTATAATAGAAATAAAAGAAAAAGATTAATGGAGTTTTCATTATTGCATTGATTCATTTTAAGTTTCTAGCTCATCTCATGATTTATTTATTCTTTTTTGGATGCTGGGTTATTATGAGATGGTAGATGGGTTATTAGGAGACATTAGCTAACTTCCAACCCATGGTTACAGTATGATACTGTTAATGTTGGAGCATCAAGTTTCAGTTGCTAATTCTCTACTACATATTCTTCTTCCATTGTCCATTTGTCTGGTTCAGTGTGACACTCAGTAAATAGATTTTAAGTGATATTTACCTACCATAGTGCCTTTCTGTGGCAGGTATCCCTGGATCTTGTTAAGAGCTTATATGCCAAGTTTATTGATTGGGACAATGAGATGATAGACCTAGAAACTGGTATTCCATCACATGCAACAAAGTAAGATTAGCTTTTCTAGAAAATTACTTGAAGTCCAATGAATAATCAAGTTAATTTGCTTATATCTTAAAATATATTTGTTATCTTTGCCAGCACAGCAATAAGTGAGGACCTGGGACAAGTTGAGTACATTTTGACTGATAAAACTGGAACCTTAACTGAGAATAGAATGATCTTTAGAAGGTGTTGTATTAGTGGAATTTTCTATGGAAATGAGAGTGGGGATGCATTGAAAGGTTTGGCCTGGCTATTTATTTTTATTTTCTTTCTCGATGTCTTATTCTTTCTTGTTTATTGCACTTTGAAACTGTCCATTTGTCTGGGGTGAGCATTTAAGCTTACTCATATTACATGGGTTCTTAGAGCAATTTAGTCACCTATATATTTGGTTTCAATTTTACATAAGTCACCTGCATGCCATGCCTTCAGTTGAGACATCACATTCTGTTTAATCCCTAAAGAATTAAGAGCTGCTTTCTTTCTGAATGAATCTAATGCGTGCTTTATCCTGGTAAATTAGGCAGAAAATGAGATGAGATTGTCCCTTATATATTTTGTCCCTGTTCCTTGATTCAAATTATTAACGACTTAATATCTGTTTTAATTTTTTATTTTTAAAAAATACGTATCTTTTTGTTTCTTTGACAGGTGATGCACGAGGGTGGCTTTTTTCTCCTTGCTCATATAGAATATATTTTGATATTTCATGTTTTGGAGCAGAATGTGTAAATTTCTTCCAATAAATAAGGTGTAATGAGAAGTTTGCAATCTAAAGGATGCATATGATATTTGAAAGACTTTAGCATCCAATGTGTATTTAAGCTTTTCCGATTTCTGATTGGGCATCTGTTTCAAAATGTGACACTATTGGATGCTGGTGCAATTTCTTGTTGTTTTTGACTAAAAATGAAAATTTGTTTGTAGAATTCTAGAACTATAATTAATTTCATCAATTAATGTCTAGTATTTTGACATTATATGGCTTCCTGTGTCACAGATCTGTTTGTTTATTTATTTATTTAAATTATGAACTGATTTAAAAATATCATTGTTCTGAACATATGTGTTTGTTAAGCATGAAAAAGTGTGCTTATTGGGGAATTTCAAGTCATCTCATTTCTGTCTACTTCAATACTTTGATGATCATTTTATAGAAAAACATGTGAGTTCTGATTCCAATTAAGTTTGCTGGGTGCAGATGTTGAGCTGCTCAATGCCATTGCTAGCAGCTCTACTCATGTAATCCATTTTCTTACAATTATGGCAATATGTAATACTGTTGTACCAATAAAAAGGTGATTACAGTTCTCTCTTGGCAGGATTTCAGCTCAGGCTTCCTTTTAGTACTTTACTGTGAGTTGGCAGTATATTGACATAGTTTGAAAATTTCTCTTCCTTTCTTGCTGTTACAATCTGCAGCAAATCTGGAGCCATCTCATATAAAGCACAATCTCAGGATGAGGATGCTCTTGTTAATGCAGCTGCTCGGTTACATATGGTTTATGCCAATAAAAATGGAAATATTCTTGGTAAAGTTCTTGGCCTTTTGCTGTAATGCGAAGATGAATCTTGATAGTTGAGATGATGCAGCTTCCTGCATTTGAATAATTTGCAGAAATCAGGTTTCATGGTTTGATAATTCAATATGAAATTTTGGAGACTCTGGAGTTCACTTCTGATAGGAAAAGAATGTCAGTGGTGGTGAAAGATTGCCAGAATGGGAAAATTCTACTTTTGTCAAAAGGCGCAGATGAAGCAATTCTTCCTTGTGCCTCTGCTGGTATATATATATATTATATATATATATGTAGAGTTAGTGCTTGTCTGCCTTACCTCCAAAAAATTATGAGGAAAAATAACAAAAAACACCCTAATTCATGCTTTAAAAATAAGATATGATAGTCTTTTTCAATAGGTGTTTATTAAAATGACATAATTTTGGAATAATATTCCTCCTAATCTTTAGGAGGTAAGGTGGATAAGCACTATTTCCTATATATATATATATATATTTGTTTGATGCATATTTTATCAAAAGGATTCTTGAAAACCCTTTCATTACATAAGTTATGTACCAACAAATGCTTAGCTAGAGATTGGATGAACATGTTCTTAAAAGAAAGAAATTCCCAGGGTAGCAAGAACTAGTCGGGAGCCTGATCCTTGGGTCTGATTCTTTCTTCAAAGCACAAAGAGGGGGATATTTTGACCCTACTTTAAGCATTTCACTTATCCTATTCATCTTGTACTTACTGAGTTCAAGCACTTCCACCTAGTAAAAGACTAAGACTTTTTACTTAAAAAGGGTTGTATAAAACTTTGACAATTTTGAAGTCCTTGACGAAAGGAAATCTATCACATGACTTTTTCCCTGAGGGAGATTGAAACTTTTTTGATTGATCAGTCCTATCACCAAGGGGAAAAGTTGTTGATGTGAAAAACACCACACTTCAAAAGCTAATTTAAGTTGGTATCCTCTAGCTTGAAGACCTATATTTTGGGGTCAAGGGCAAGGCTTTAAACCTTTTTGAATGCTAAGCAAGCACATTAATTTCCTCATGTACCAAAAAAGGAAAATACATTAGGTGTGCTGCTTTATGAGTAAAATGGAAGAGGGAATTGTAGTTGGGAGTTACTTTTATTTATTCATGTTACAAGGATGGGATGTTACAAAGTAAACTTAATTGTTTGCACCTGGCAGTGGTAATACCCATATATGGATCTTATTTTCATTGACAACTAAAGAACTTGCTTTCTGCAAGTGAAATATACAAGCATGGAAGCTCACCTATCAACTTATAGGCTAAATGGTTTTTGACATTGTCAAATTGTATTTAGGCTAGTTGACCTAGTGATAAAAAATTCAACCATCCAAGTACTGGTGCCTCAAATTATTTAGTTAATGTTGTATTTTAGCATAAGGTATGTAGTACATTTGTGCTTATCCCATTTGCAAAACCCGGTGGGTTGTGTTGAAATGCATTAGTTAATCAATATGTTGCCCCTCAATTTAGGCTTTTGTGTGGCTAATTCTTGATATTAACTTAGTGGCAGTGTGTCTTGCAGCATGTTTTTCTGGTAGTCTGAATTTTGCTTCTTCATTGTGTCTTCAGCCTGTCTTAATACAGTAAAGTTGATTTCTTTGTAGTTTCAGGGGTCTTAATCATTCAGTTG